TGCCCGTCCCCGGTGGCGGCCGCAGCCCCGGGCAGCGCGTGGCGGGGACGGCTCCAGTCTTTATAGAGCCTTAGTGCTGCCTGTCCTGCTGGCCCGGCCCCGGCCGCGCTCTGGAAGGTGAAGCTGCCTTGCGCCGGGTCCCCTCCATCCCCGCTCTGCCTGGGCCTTCCCCTGCGTGGAGAGGCATGGCGCTGGGGGCGGGGGGGGGGGGGCGGGGGGCAACGGGGCATGAGGATGTGGTCACGGGGATGGTGGGGCAGGGGGACGGAGCTTGAGGGTGGTGGAGGACAGGGCAACGTGGCACGAGGGTGACAGGGCGTGGGGACAGGGAGGCAGGCCGTAAGGGTGATGATGTGGGGACAGTGGGCACGGGGACCGGGCAGCTCCTGCCACGAGCCATGTGCCCACAAGGTGCTGGAGGCCGCAGGGATGGGAAGGTCCCTGGGCAGGGCTGGCCTGTGGCCGACAGTGCCGCCCCATCCCTAGGGCAGAGGTGGCCTTGGTGAAGTTGGGCAAGGCCACACTGGCTGCCCTGGGGGCCACTGGCAGCCCCTTATCGCTCCTTGGCCTCGTGCCGTGGAGGGCAGTGTCTCCATGTCAGGCATCCTCCTCTCCTCCAACATCTCTGGGGCGCAGGTCTGGCAGCCCCCGGCCCCAGCACCAGGCCCCCATGCCTGTGCCTGCCCACCTGGCTGCTCCCCATCCCCTCGCCCACCTGTGAGTGCTGCGCTGGGATGCTCCAGGAGGAGTGTGAAGGACCAGCATGTGTTCTCCTCCTCAGTCCCTGTGGGATGGCCCTGCTGTCACTCCTGCCCGCTGTGCTCCACTGCCCTGTGCACTGCCAGGACCCCCAGGGACTGGGGGGCTCCACTTGCCTGGACATCTACCAGGTGCCCCGAACTCCACCCTGCACATATAGTAGGTGCCACACGCCTGGAGGAACTTGCTGGTCCTCTCGCTCAGGCTGGTCACCTGGAAGAGCAGCTTGGGGGTGCTCAGCTCGTCACATGGGTGGATGATGTTTGGAAAAGCTGGGGTGGGGCAAGGGCTGCTGCCATAGTGAGCTGGGGACCCCCCCACCTCACTGCTCTAGCCACACCACGGGGAGCCTGCGCAGCATCCCACTAGAGGTGAGATGAAGTGCCAGTGCTGCTGCCAAGGGGCGGGGGAGCTGCAGCCCCGCAGCCAGGGCTCACCAGTGTCAGGGACCCCCACCATCCTCACGTAGGAGACCAGCCGCAGGACGGTGCAGCTGGCATTGGCTGGAAGGCTCTGGTCATCTGCAGGGAGAGCAGCAGTGGCTGAGTGCAGCAGGTGGCTCTGGCAGCTTGATGTGGATGAATGTGCCACTGCCATGAGCCTGGGACCAGGGGCTGGGACAGTGGGGTTGGACCCTGCCCCACAGCGTTGGTGAGGTCAGAGGTGAGTGGGGTGCGGCGCTCTGCTGGTGCCTCCCCCAAACCCTGCAGGGTGAACCCAGGTGACCCCCCAGCACAGCAGAGTTTTACTGCAGTGGGAAACCCCGGGGCGCAGGCAAAGGGGTGGCGAGGCCCCAGGCGGACAGCTGGGCTCACCTGGTGCCCTGGCAGCTGCAGCCCTCAGGGCTGGGGGCGACACAGTGGCTTGGTGTGCGAGCTAGCACAAGCAGGACACAAGAATAACCACAAAAACACGAATGAAATGCAAAGAGCAAATTTATTTTCATTACCTCATGAACTGGGGTATCCCCCAAGCAGCACCCAGGCAGAAGCACACAAGCGGGAATGCGGGCGCCATGAAGCTCAGTCCATGCTAGAGGATCACCAAAGCTGCTGGTTTTGCCTGTTTTTCCGGGATTCACGCAGGCGTAGTTTACCACTGTGCTTTGATCTTTCCCACAGCAGGGCAGGAATCTCAAGCATGTTCAATAGGGTGCCCCTAAGTCTATCACTGGCCTATGTTATCTGAACACAGATGTTCCACTTGTCAAACACGCAAGGATAGACAACAATTAGTATGCTATATGTGTTTTTCTACACCCCAGATGGAAGTCACTTGAGTGTGTTTACAATCCTCCTTGCTGATCTTCTGTTATTTTCCCACACTTGGCCCCTCTGGCCCTTGGCGCTTCTCAGCCCCAGTGTCCCCATTGGTTGGCCAGTGGCTCCTGCCTGCTCAGTCACAGCTGCCCCCTCACTGGGATAAGTCCCTGGGTGTGCTTGTGGGAACCACAAAGCAAGGAGGGGGCCTTGGCAAGCTCCCAGCAGCTCCAATATGCCCAGCACGGGGGCCCACAGGAGTGCAGTGTGGGAGCCCATCCGCCCTCCCACAGCTCTGCTCTGCCATGGCAACCCTGAGAGGGATCCTGCATGTGGCAGGGCTCGTGGTAGGATGGATGTCACCCTGCCTTCCTGGACGCTCCAAGGACAGGGCAGGTGCTGGGACACTGCAGTGTGCCCAGCGTGCTGCAACGCACCCAGAGCAGCACCCAGTGCTACCTGATCCATCTCATGCATGCAACAAATAGTGCACCCAGGGTGCTATGCACTGCACCCCGGGCACTGTGCAGTGCACCAATTGCACCACCTGGTGCACACAGCACACTGTGCAGTGCACCCAGTGCACCACCCAGTGCACCCAGCACACCATGCTCACCCAGCACCCTGTGGTGCAGTACAGCTGCCATGTTGCGGGGGACTGAGTGTGACCATGGCAGGGAGCAGGGCTGGGGGTCCCAGGCATTTGGCAGAGGCAGGGTGGGAGCAGGGAGCGAGGCCTGTGGGGCAGCAAGGTTTCAGGCAGCAGCGGTGTGAAGCGTGCAGGGGTGCAGGAGTGCATCACACTCCCACGTAGCTGTTCTTGTAGGGGCTGTGTTCACGGGGGGCAGCCAGGGCCCCAGGCATCAGCGATGGCGGGTGGTTGCTGCCCTCCCACAGGGGCTCGTAGCTGTCCTTGGGGGGCAGCTCGCTCACATAGCAGATGTTCTCGCTGTAGTTGGGCTTGAAGCTCTCCATGACATCTTTGGGGACTCCGGCCCATTCCTTCGGGGAGCAGAGCGGGGTGAGAGAAGCCACCACCCAGCCAAGCCCTAACCCCACAGAGCAGGGGTTGAGCCCAGGGCAGGGCTGCCCGCCGCCACCTTACCTGGAAGTTGCCCTTGTGGGTGATGAAGAGGTCGTCAAAGTTCTTGCTGGGGTTGGGGATTCGGGGCATGAGGATGACCCACACCCTGCACAGGAGAGATGTGTCAGATGGGAAAGGCTCCAGTGCTGCTGCCCCCCACCAGCCCCCCCCCCGCTCACCTTTCCATGCGCACCAGCAGGACAACAAGGACCAGCAAGAGCAGGCAAGAGACAATGGGGATCAAGACCGTGTGGATCCAGAACCAGTGCAGCGGCTCCTCTGCCGTGCCTGGAAAGATCCGGGGTGACATGGATCCCCAGCCAGCACACCACCACAACAGTGAGCTGGGCACACCGGTGGCCCTTTGTGGGTGGCCATGGGAGCTTGGCATCATCCCTGGCAGGGCTCAGCTGGGAGTGGAGGATGGAGAAGGGGCCCATCCCCAAGCCCTGCCATGCTGTCACCACAACAGACTGGTGACCCTGTCCTGGACTGGCCATGCCAGAGCAGCCCTCCAGGGCTAAGAAACCCCGGCAAATGTTAGCAGGTCCTACTAGCACAGGGTCTTTGTCTTCCAGAAGTGCAAAGAACACAGGGGCCAATGCTGTTGCCTGTGCCCCAGGCACCCGGACAGGTCTCACACCTACAGCTGCTGCCTTGGGCCAGTTTTCCACTTGCTTGGCCATCCCTTGCCTGCTGAGCACCACCATGCCCCAGCCCAGCCCAGCCCGCCACAGCCCCCATGACCTACCCTTACTGGTGGAGTTGCTGCCCCAGACCACAGGCACACTCCACTCACTCCAGAGCTGGGTGGTGCCGCAGTAGCTGTTGATCTTGCTGCGCACATAGAAGGTGTAGTACTTCTCATAGTCTACACTGGGGAAGGAGAAGACATCTCCTTTCACCTGGTGCTCCTGTGGAGAGACATGGGCCATGTGATGAGGGCCAGCACTGTTGTGGAGGCTGGTGCACAGCTCATCCCTGGGCACAATCATGAGGGTGCCGCATCCAGGGGGCTCTCACCGTCCAGCTGGTGTCCTTGTTGCTCTTGTACTTGATGGCGTGCTCCAGGCACTGGGGTCTGGGGTACGGGGAGGTCCAGGTCAGCTGCAGCTGGTTGTTGCTCATGTTGCGGATGGTTAGGTTGACAGGTGCCTCCGGTTTCACTGCAAGGCACAGGTGATGGCCGGTGAGTGCCGTCCCCATGCCCCGGTGGCCCTGCCACCAGCCAGGACATGATGGGGCAGCCCTGGGGACCCACAGCCCTGCTCCTGCCCCACAGCAGCCCCACAGAGGACAGTGGGTGCCCCCCACCACTCCATACCCAGGTCCTGCAGCTCCATGCGCTTGCTGGGGATCTCCAGTGTCCTGCCACCAAGGCTGGCATTGACAAGGACATGGAAAGGCTGGAACTGGATGATCTCGCTCTGGTTGAAGTGGCAGCCGACACTGATGCCGCGGTCCTGCAGGTAGTGCTTGCACTCCACCACAGGGGACCTGTTCTCATACCTGTGCCACAGCAGGTTACCAGGGCTTCCCAAGACCCCACATGCCCCAGCCCTCCCCAGGACCCCTGTCCCCAGCATATCCCATCCCGCTTGCCCTGGAGACAGAGCCTCCCCCACCCTGGGCTTTGGGAAGAGGAGCAGGCTGGTACTGGGACCAGAAATGCTGGCAGTAGCCCCCTGCGCAGGGACCCACCACTGGACACCCCTGCTGTGGGGGTGGCCATGGGGCAGGGGCACCTACCAGTAGTAGAGGGAGTAGTTGGCCATGAGCGTCTCTCTGCTCCCCCACATGCAGGTCATGTACTCCTCGTTGAAGACGACACACTCCACCCCTGCAAAGGACAGACACCACTGGGCACTGTGGTGGTGGGCAGCTGTGCCAGGGCACAGGGCTGCACCAGCGAGACATGGAACATGCTGGGGTCCCTGCACATACCCATCAGCCTTCCTCTGTGTGAGCCAAACAAGCCCAGCTCTTCTCAGTGGAGCTGCGGTGCAGCCTGCCTGCAATGCCGGGCCCCCACCATCCTGTTCACATATGCTGTGTCGGTGATGCCTGGGCTGCTAGCCAAGCCGCTGCCCCTCCCGCATCTGTGCCATTGGTTCGTCTTGCTCCAGATGTCCTGTTTCACCTCAATTCCTCCATCTGCTCCCCTTAGTCACCCCATGGCCGCAGTTTGCAGCCCCTGGCACTGTGGGACAGGCCAGAAACCCCTCCCTGCCAACCCATTTTGCTTGTCCCATGAGAAAATTGTGTTTTTTCCAGGATTTGTGCCTGATGTCTCCATCCTGGCTAAATTCACCTCACTGTTACCCTTTTGGGTGCTTGCAGGTGCTCATGTGTCTCTGCACCTGGGTGATGGGGGCTGTGATGGGCTGTGCTTCCCATTGGAGCCCCTTCACCATAGGGCCAGGGGCTAAGCCTCAGAAGTTTGATCTCTGCAGAAAACATGGCTGAGCCCCGGGAGGCCAAGCAGCTGCTCCAGGCACCCACGCCAGCTCCTCTGCCCCCTCCTTCCGCTGCGCTGTCCCAGCCCCAGTCCTGCCCACGCAGCCAGAGGCCACATCCTGTGCTGGCTGGGGGCTGCAGGGCCACCAGGTTGGTGCTGGTCCCCACGCCAGTTATCACACCGCAGTCCAGTCTGGAGGCCACAGGCACGGCTCGCTGCGGGACAAGCTCCTCCAATGGACTGAGATGCCTCGCAGACCCCTTGCAAGTGCCAAACCAGCTGCTGGTGGCTAAGAGCTGTCCTGGAGGCTCCCAGAAAATGTTTTTTTTTCCCCCTAAAAATGAGGCAATGGGGCACCTGGTCCCTTCCGAGGTCTAAACCCATCAGCCAGCACTGTAGTGGCAGGAGAAAGCCAGAGCTGGGCTTGTAATGTAACGCAACAGAGCAAACAGGCGCTGTACTCCAGTTGTTTCCGCACGTGAAGATGGAGGGCACCTTCCCAGCGACTTAGGAAGTCCAGGGATACAGAGGGCCTGTGTATCCACAGAAAGCTGGTGTTTTACTGACAGCCAGCCAAGAAGTGGATTTTTTCTTGGAAAATGACGGCTGGGGCAAGGGTGCTGGCTGGAAAGAGGAGACGTTCTCACCTTCTGGCAGTACACTCCCCCCAGCAGGAAATGAAACTTCTCCAGGCAGGGAGAAGAGGAAAAAAACCCCAAACCCTGGAGGCCGAAGGTTGAAATTTGAACTGACCAATTGCGACGTGCCAGGTACATTGAGGTGACCTTCTTGGCCAATAGGGATTAAATGACCACAGGTCAGATTCGACAAGGGTATAAGCTGGAGGGCATGTGGGAATCAGTCTGCCCTGCAGCAGCGGGTCTGCAGTTGGGGACCCCCCCTTGGGTCAGGGCACCGCCCGAGGTAACTCCTCGAGGGAGAGCGCCCTCATCTTTTAGGTGAGTGATAATGCGCAGTTTGAGTCATCACTTTTAAGGATTCTTAAGTCGGCTGTGTAGTACTAATTCCCCTTACATCGTTGAGCTTGTGGTTTATAAAATATTACCGGAGTTCTAACTA